GTGTGTACGTCCGCTCCAAAAATTGATTCAGTAATTCTATCTTCACTCCAAACAATGGGCACTGATCGAGAAGATAAACGAGTTCGATAATTTGTTCAAAACCGTTACTCCTCTGTCATGTGCTAAACGAATTCATTGGTCATCCCCTGTTACTAAAGTGAAATGGCTAACAATTTTAGAATACCACATTTATTGTCACACAGGGCTTAGGTGACGCGCGGCTTCTACATGTCATAATAGTTTACGTGCCTGGTTGTACAGCATTTCATACACTTGACCTAAACCAACATTTCCTTTAGAGGGTGCGGTTCGAGGTGAGGAAAAGACGTGTGCAAACACGTCAGTGTATCAGACCGATAGAGTCTCGCAGATGCCGTGCTCATCCCTTCTAACTGCGTTTTTTTTTCTACGGCCTGCCGGTGATTCTCACGAAACTTGGAAGACTCGATGCACGACTGGTATGTTCGTGTGTAGAAAGCTGCACAACGACACGTAAACTTTGTGGTATCTAAAATTTATTCACCTAGAATAGTGGTATTCCGCATCTGTATTTTCTTACATCATACATTGTTTAGGCAAAGGACCCCCGCGAAGTTCCTGTAAAGCGGGAGACCTTCGCGTGGGTCCAGTATACCGCCTCCTTCAAAGCTTCACCGCACCTCTTCCAAGTTGTCGGTGTTGTGTCGTCGCATGAGCACGTCGGGCGGGTCTTCGGACAGGATGACGCCGTGCCGCAAGAAAGCGACGGTGGACGCCAGTCTCGCCTCGTCGATGTAATGCGTCGTGATGATGATGGACATGCGCTGCCGTTCGGCCAGCGCCACCATGTGCTCCCAGATGTTCATGCGGAGCACCGGGTCGATACCGACGGTCGGCTCGTCCAAGATCAGCAGGGGTGGATTGTGGATCAGTGACACGGCCAGAGAGACGCGACGCTTCTGGCCTCCGCTCAGGTACGACACGAGCCGCTTTGGGTCCGGCAGTTCCAGGAAGGAGACGAGGAACTCCGCGCGCTGCTGAGCCACCTCGGGCGACAGGTCGTAGAGGTGGGCGAAGAAGTACATCGTCTCCTCGACGGAGAAGGCGTCGAAGAGGGCCGCCTCCTGCGGCATGTAGCCCACGTTGGCGCCGGGTATCTTGGAGCCTCTGGTTCCCGGCTCGTAACCGAACACCCGGATGTTTCCCTCCTGGAAGCGCTTGCGTCCCATGATGCATCGCAGCAGGGTGGTCTTGCCGCAGCCCGAAGAACCGAGCAGCGCGTAGATGGCGCCGCGCTGCACGGTCATGTCGACGCCGCGGAATATGTCCACCCGGTTCGTGTCGCTGCCGTACCAGAGTTGGAGGCCCCTGACACGAACGGCCGGGGTCTTGCCACGGAAGCGCTTGGAGCCGGTGTCGGTTTGTGCGCCATTGGGAACGGCGGACGACGAGTTCGGGAGCTTCGCCGCCCGCGTGGTACCCTTGCTGGTTGCCTGGGCTTCGCTCTGCGCGACTGAAGGAATGACCTGGGCAGCCGAACCTTCGGCGGACGTGTCATGCTCGGTCGGAACGTAGTCACCCATCGCCAGAGAAAGAGAGACGATCTTCGCAGTGGCAGCAGCGTTTTGTGACGAGAAAGAGCTTTAGCCACAACCCTATAAGGCAGCCGAGCTGTTCAATGGAGAGGTTCGGAGCCAAGATGGGATTACGTCTTTCTCGAACGACACGAAGTTCTTCTCGATTCGAGAGCGCGTGGGATCATGATGATGATATTCTTTTTCTGATGGCGCGTGTGAATGCGCCACGCGCGCATGCACGACCGCATTCTTCTTCTTTGTCAAAAGAAGCCCACGCGCGCGGTATGCCTTCGATTTAGAACTGTGTTGGGATTGTAGTCAAAGGGACGTCTGCAGTCCTAGTTTTGATTACACAAATGAAACAAAAAGACTACCAGGTTAATTTATTTTCATTGTTTCATATTCTTGGCTCCGAATCCGTCACTTCCTTCGCCATAAATCTCACCTTATATCTGAAAACTTGCTTGTCTAGCAATTTCATTTATTGGATGTATTCTTGTCCCAAATTTGCCATTGTTTTGCATCGTAATCTACCACACGTAACAATATCGCAGGTGCACATAGCTGTTAACTCCCACTGTTAGCTCCCATCGTCATTTGCATTCATTCCACTCTCAAAATAGCGATTCACTTGTGGCCAGTTGTGGCCAGCTGAAGCTATCCGAAACATTGACGCGATAGCGTGGAAGAACTCGTTTCGCAGAAATCATGGTGTCGCCGTCGGTGTCGCATGGTTGCGAGCGAAAAGTTATTGTTCGTGACCAAAAATTTGCGTAATGTACAAATAATATAAGTCATAAATTTAATTGCAGTGAGAATTGAATCCAGACCTCCTACGCACATGGCAAACATGTGTTCTACCATTGAGCTACGTCATTGTTTCAAACTGCTTCGCTTCATATTGTTAGAGGGTATCAGAACAGCGGAGGGCTCGGACCGGCCACAGCACCAGTGTACAGAAAGTGAAGCCCGAACAGGGTCAATCCGCTTGCGGCGCTGCGGTCGGTAGTCTGCACTGTGTTGTCGTTTTAAGAGCTGCGCATGACTCCATCAAAGTGGTTCGGACTATAATTGCCGCTTCCCGCTTGGAAGGCCGGAGTTCAAATCGGAGCCGGAATGTGTACGCATGGAGAACTCGGAAGTAGTGGAGGAAGTGACCATCGCTCTGGCTATAACCGATAGGGAATGCGAAGTCGTCCTAAGCGACTCGCAGTGGAAAAAAACTACGCTAAAGGCGGCATTTCACGGGTAGCCCTGGTCATCCTGGTGAAAGCGGGCAGGCCTTAAAGCGCCAAGTCGACCATCGTGTGGTTCTCCACCCACGTCACCACGGCACGTAACACGCTCCCGAATCAAAACGAGACGGCGCATCATAGAGTTTCATACAATAATGCCTAGGGAGGAATCTGGCGCTTCGATCGTGTACTCTCATGGGAATTATGGGAAGTACAGGCTTCAGATTAGATCGCGCTGGCCAGGGAACTGTCTGAGGACCCTTTTCTGCAGTTTCAGTTTTTTCTTCGCGTAGAGTGGGTAGTGGGGTGGGTGCAAAGGACTGAAGCTGCGCCTCTTGTTGTTCAAAGAAGCTGAAAGTTGCCAGGCTTCTGAATTTACTGCAACGCTGGAGCTTTATAAGCCGTGTTTGACAGTTTAAGCGAAACATAGTTTACTCACCGCTGCGTATAGATGTAGCGTCCCATGCCAGTGCAGGATATTACATCGAGTTCACGTTTTTCGTTAGTGCGTCTTGCCAAAACTCGTTGAAATCAACTGCTAAAACGACGGCTACTGCGAAGTGTACGCACCGCACCGCCACGCTCTTCTGACTCGATTTCACTACAGAACAAGAGGTGCGTTGGGGCAGACCACTTGAACAGACGCATCTGGCATCGCAGCAGACGAAATGTCAAGTGTATCTAATACTGTGCTGTTATTTCCAATAACTATATATATTGCGTGCTTTCGAGGGCAAACCAAGAATGTTTGTTTTGAAATGTTGTAAAGAACAATTCATTACATCTTGATGCCAAATCTGGAACGCAATTGGCAGAGCAATGCATACCCTGGTGGTTAAATTTGTCCAGGTTTCACTTCTACCGCCTAGTCACAAAAACCGTTCGCGATAAAGTTTGCGTGCAAAGAAATAAAGCAGGTTTTAATTTATTATACCTTCATATTACTTTGTTTTACACTCTGAAAAGAAGCGTTGCGAATCTCAAGAACGTGATCCATCTGAAGCAGATCCGAAGCCTGTACTTCCCATCATTCCCATGCGGGTACAAGCGCCGCTGAAGGAGCTCGCGTAGACACTAGCGCCAGATTCCACTCTAGGTATTATTGTATGAAACTATGTGGCGCATGTTATGGCGCGAGTCATGACTGCCGCGCCGAACAGGCACATGACTCTCGGACAATAGAAACACACCGCGCAGAACGGGATGTGCTCACTAGCTATAATGAAATAACAAAAGTCTATCTTATCGCCAGAAGAATATTACCGCTGCTCAGTCCCAAGCTAAACAGAAGGCAGGGCGTCGCCTGGAGACAGCTGCAGACGAACGCCTTTAATAGCCCGGTCCGCCTAAAACGTATCTGGACCAACATCAGGTAGACCGTGAAAATTGTATCAGAAAGGGCCATCAGCACTCGTCGTATAGGCGCCAAAATGATGGCAGTTACTCCGGAGACCCTTTCGTCGAAATGGGCCACCGATCTACACAGTTCAGACCTCGGCATCCAAACGTGGGCAGTCCAGCAAGCTCTTGATGTGGCGTTGAGGAAAGGTCTTGACGTTCCCCCTTGGGATACCTAAGCCGGGGTAGCGTTAAACCTTGCCCAACGTTCAGTAAAGTTGTATCAATTCATACGTACCAACTGAAGCCAGTTTTAAGAAAAAGGAAAACAGCTATAAAAAGTTACCTTGAAAATGAAAAAGTCCCACAGCTGCGACACAAACTCGGGCCTTGCGCCCGTGTTAAAATCGCAGCCGTGGACGTCAAGTTTTTATTTTCCTATGTTCTCGCTAATTGCAGCAGACTTCGAAATAGTTCACCATAGTGTGCCGAAAGTTGGTCGACAACCAAAAATAGGCCAGGGTGACGAGTTTCATCGTCTGTGTTTAAACTGGCTGCTTCCAGCTCGAGTATAACTCCAATAAAACTTCGGTTGGGCCTTGTATGGTACATAACTTTTAAGCTGAATACTTCTCGAAAAATTAGAACGTACCACAAAGACGGTATGCGACAAGTGCTGGCACTGTGCTTGTATCATCTTTTGATGGTTCGTTCTTGCTTTACTCTGATGTTATTGCCTTAAACGCATAGGCCTACCCCACGGCCGGCCCACTGCATTGGCAGCCACTAAAAATAATGCAAACTTACGAGTCACGAACACACGGCACGAAGGGAACGAGGAGTTCGCGCTGACAAAGAAGACGCCAGACACTGTAAGGGTGATCGCGCAGCGCCATTTTAATATTGCATGCCGTCAATAGTCTTTAAAACAGAGCGCGTATGTACAAGTAAGAGCAGGTGTAGGCTAGCTTCGTAGTCGGAAGGCGACCGCGGCGAAGATGAGGAAGACGGCGCACCAGGCACCGGAGACGACGAAGCCGAGCCAGACTTCGGTGTGAGCGATGCCCCAGCCGCGAGAGAGGATGCAGCGAAGAGACTCGGTCGGGATGGTCTGCGGCAGGCCGTAGCTCAGGTAGCGCATGTAATACGGCATCGCCTGCGTCGGCCAAACCACACCTGCAGCAAGTGGAGAACAATTATAACGCTTGCATGACAACAAATAACAGAATTAAATGTCGGAGTTAATGATGAACTTCGGCCATTCCGAATTCACAGAATGCTCACAGCGCACAATATACAGGGCGTTCTTTCAGAAGCAATACAGATTAACATGGAAATCCTATTATAGTAAGGCAGTAGTACGGAAAAACCCAGCTAGTCGGTACGAACGAATTATGAAAACGCAAACATGGGGACAGGCGAGTGAGATGACATAGCGCCTGTTTCATCTGTGTTGTTTGCACTAGTCCACGAAATAGTATGGCTCCTGTCATATTGGCACATGAACTCCGCACCGAGGTGGCTCAAATGAAACAGCGGTGTCGTGACCAGGATTTTGGGACATTTGCACGTAGTTGGAACTCCCGTCGGCGAAAGCGATGGCGTGCCGTAACCGAATGGCAAATAGGCGAAAAGATCATATCTGACGAAAAAAAAGCTACTTATCAAAAACAACCCCCGGTTCTATACAGACGGGACGCATTTGAATAGTCTAACAAAGTTACAGTGTCGCACTATAAATCGCGTGGCTCGCAGAGTTGTATTTCACAATGGGATCCCATCTGTCACTGTGCGTGGTGTTAAATTATCCTGGGAAGCCACACGCTTTATAGTGCAATACCGCAGTTTTACCAAAATGTACCTGTGGGTCTCTGCTACACATAACTAGGAGTCATTTTTGATAACCAGCTTTTTTCAAGAGGTGTTTTTTTTCTCACCCCTTTCCCTTTCAGTTACGGCAGGAGCTGCCATTGCTGCCGCCGAGAGATGGCGCCACGCTCACATGTCTCCGATTCCTGGCACTGCTTACGAAAACTCGTACTATGAATTATTTCCGTGAGTGACGTTGTTTGTATGAGCAAGTTATAGCGCACGACAGTTTATGAAATATCGGTTTTTATAGGAATATAAAAATTTGCAGTTCATTCTAGATATTCAACCTCTTGTTTTATGGCGATAACGAAACTTATTACGCCCGGCGCACACTTTACGCATACCCTCTGTTGCTTCAAACCGGAAATATGTAAAAAGGAAGTGACGAAGTACGAGTTTAAATTTCGATTGTCTTCAGCCAGTCGAATAATGATGATCGATCACTGATAACACCGAGAGGCTGCCTGTATTTGTAAGTAAACAGCAGACAGTGATCGCACTTGAATGTGCTTTGTATGTTTGTGCGTCGTATAACAGATGTCGCTACTTGTCGGTCGTCTTAGACACTACATCATGTACTGGGTCCAACAGCCGCGCCATTAAAAAGTGCGTACGTTCCACAACTGAGTGCATTCTCCCCTCCTATGACAGCAGTTTAACAGTGCACCCACCGCAGTTGGGCACCTCAAAAACGCACACGCTAATCCGTAAGACTTATTACACTTGTAACACTAGACAGATTCTCTTTGCGAGTGCGCTAACTCGTGCTTAGTGGCACGACAACAAAGCTGTGGTCAGGAGAAACGAAGTGTCTAGTCACAACCTAGAGAGCACGCAGCGATGTACTTCCGCTCAAAATAATACGTAAATCATGTCTCGTGCCCAACCGTTTTTCCTATCGCCGAAACGTCACAATTCTTACGCGTCGACCGGCATGTTTTTGACGTACACAGGATGCATTCACCACTCACCCATGTCCAAAACAAGCCAAATAAATTTCCGCTGGGCTACAAAACCGGTTGGAAACATTTTGGGTGTGGTTGATGCTTCTAGACCTGGGTTAGTTCACATGTGATGCATAGCAGCGCATGTGCCCTGCTGTGTGTATTAAAATGCTGAGGCCTCCGTTACGCAGTCGACAGGCCAAATGGTTGGCTGGTTATGTTGATCGGTCCACAGAGGGGTGCAAATCGTACTGCTACGTTAGATTAAGCGCAGTGATCCAGAAGCGTCGAATGGCCCATGTGGGCACGCGAAATATTATAATGCTAGCTAGGCCACGATATATATAGCGCGGTGGACTACAGTAACGGAGCAACGGTATCTCGGCAGCCCAGTTCTTTTGGGAACGCCTAGCCGCTCCATACGACCGACAATATCTGCTCTGCTGCACGCTTGAACGCTAGACAGCAGAACACAAGCGTTCCGGCATGGGTTATAAAGACGATAGTCTTTCTTTGGGACCTTCCACGCAAAAAGTTTGGTCTGTCTGTCCGTCCGTCCGTCTGTCTGTGTCTGTCTGTGTCTGTCTGTGTCTGTCTGTGTCTGTCCACCGTTACCACGAACCGGGTCCTCTTAACAGCACCAGCCGATACTCCGAACGGCCGACCCCATCCGCAGCACCCACCAATGTTTCTCAAGAATCAGCGTTCATACGTGTGTGATTGCCAATTATAAAGCTATTATTGCGCATATCTGAGGCACCATAACAACGCATATATATTCTGCATGTTCGTCTTTTACTAGAAAAGGCATACATAAGTAATTTTAAGGACCGTAGCGCTTATCACACTGCGCTGACCATGCAACGCTTGCACGGAACGGGGAGTGTTTCCAACGCTTTGCTATGACGAGACGGTGGTGGCACCTATCCGTCGCCTTGCGTTCTGCACCTTATCACATCTGAGACGGGCGTGCACGTCCGTCTCAGAGGTGATAAGGTTTAGGCCACGTGCTTTGTTTTCCGAAAAGAACTGCCAGATGACGCTCATGTCTCACGTGTGACGTGACATGATGTGCTCGTTCACCTCCGCTGCACGCTCGAGGCACTCTAACGCAGCGCCTCCAGAATACCATTCACCGATTTTCTTGCACAGAACATCAGATAAAGGTTTTGTTCAGTCTCTCCACAAGCAAGAATATCGTCTTTCGACGACATTTGCAGATTACATGCAGATACGGGGCTAATTTTTTTCTTTAATATTTCGAGGGCTTTCTTTTTGACGCCGAAAAACGGACTACGTGAGATGTATCGTAGATATAGAGAAAACAATTCAATCGGTGGTTTCTGAAGAGGCCCCGCAACTCTGCGATAATACTATGTCTGCAGTTTATAATTAATTGATGTGACCTTTATTAAAGATAAGGACGACTCTTGGCGGCTGTTGGGGATGACGTGGGAACTGGGTAAGGGGATTAAAGGTTGAGAATCGGCTTCATGTCACGCTTTCGGCACGGCTCAGGTGACCTCCCCTACACCACTCGAAACAGGCCACCTTGACTACCGCATAACGCGAGGAGTTTCAGTTCATGGTTGGTACTTTATTCACAGAACTCCTTGAAATTAATTAACTTCATGATTAGGTCAAAGAGAAAACAAGTAATAACCCCAGTAAAGGCTAATGCAACTGTAGTATGTATTTGGCTCATTTCGCTTCCGACACGCCTTTCATTTGTTTTTGTTTTTTTTTGCCTTGGCTAAAGTTACGTGGGACAACCTGTGTATCAAAAGACATTTCATTGCCAGTTTCATTGTGAAACCTGAACGGCGGTCGTCAACGGTCAGCTAAGGAAATCTCACTTGACGAATAAAACTGGTTATGGAAGTTTACTCGCGGCTAGGCATAACTAGAGACTCACGGAACATGGAGATAAAGTTACAATAGCACACCACAAAACGCCTAGGTTCGCAGAAAAGGCGGGCAGAACTGACCGCTGAGCAGCAGGTTCGGGTAGAAAGACCCGAGGGCGAGCATGATGGCAGAGTTCTCCTCGACGCACATGGAGGATATGACGAGGCCGTAGACCATGCCGCAGCAGCCCTGCAGCAGCGTGAGCAGCACGACCCACACGAAGGGGCCCCGTGACGGGATCTCGAACACGAGAAAAGTGAAGACCAGCAGGCCGGCCACTTGCACGAACATCACCAGGAACTGGCAGATCACGTGCGCCAGGATCACCTCGAACGGACGCACGCCTGCGTTTCGTTCGCCCAGCGTCACTTTCAGCGGCGCTCGAATGGATAACGCCACGCTATAGCTGCTGCTGAGGGCTTATCAAGAGCGCTTGAGCGTTAATACGAGTAAAGGCCATTCCGTAAGCGAGACACTGAACGACACATATTTACACACTCAATACATCTTTCGGGAAACCTTGGGCTGATGCAATTACCTTCTGCCATAACTTAAAACTGTGCTGTAACTTTGCAAAGAATTGACATGAACTGAAGAAAAACTGCTAGTCGACCTATAACGTGGACGTGTGCATCTATTAGCACCTTTGGACGTTACTAACAAGGAGGAATTAAATGTGTACACAAGGACAAGCACAGTCTTGTCCTTGTGTGCTCTTTTTTTTTCGTCCTTGTGTTGCATGCAAAGATGCGAGATAATGAATTAACAAGGCATCTATGTGGAGCCAGCTCCTGTTTTTCAAAGCTTAGTTCACTTACTTCAATTTCTCGTGTCCTTTGAGTAGTCTTTCAGAACTGCTACATTATTAAAGCTTGGAAAAGGTTATTCTGTATTAGTATGTCTATCATATTGTATTGGCACTGACAGCTGCGTGATAGGAGCTTGTAATATACGACTGATAGAGAGAGAGAGAAAAAAAAGGCCTTTTAGGAAATAATGAGCCAAATGGTGCCTCACTCACCGGCCACCCAGCTCCTCTCGAGAAGGCCCTCCTTCTGCTCGGAAACGATGGAGATGGCAGTGAGGCCCACGGCCATGATGTAAGTGATGCTGATGATGATTCCAGGGGCCATGAATTCTGTGAAGCTAGGCTTGTCCACGCCGTAGATGGGGGCTTTGATCTGAAATGAACAACCGAGTATTGCAATCTGCGGCTGTGTTCATCATAGTATATATCATTGTCATCACTCGGCACCTGCAGTAGCCTGTCAGGTGAAAAAACCAGGCAAACCTCTCCAGCTGCCCATTAAAATAATTTTCTTTCTCTCTCTCACGTTCACGAAATCGACAGTCAGCTGTGCATGATGAGAAGCATTCCATGTTGCACAAGCTACAGGGAGCGTTGAAAACGTGAAGGTGACTAGAGAATAGATACAATGTCAATATCTGTAGTGTTTCTCGTAACCAGTTGACTTGTCCGTGTGATAGGTGGTTTTTTTATAATAAGAAGCACTGCAGAGCCAGTCATAGCAATACCTGTCGTTCTTGTGTGCAAAGCGTACATATACGCAGGCTAAGGAAGTTGGTTGATGCGCTGCATGTCTTTTCGAAGCGTTGGTTTCCACAACATTTCCACTTTGATGATTTTGCATCACTTCAAAGCCCTGTCTTCCACCAAACTGATGCCTTGTTTTGAATTTGACAGTTACACCGACTTTAATATTATCAGAACAAGCAGTTGGACGAGTTGGTGTGCTGCCATTTTCAGCGAATATTAGCCCGGCAAAAACGGGGATGTGAATAAAAAAGATAAGACAGACAACAGGCTAACTAGCAACTAAAATTTATTAAAAAACAGAGGAATGAATATTTTTTCAGAGTGATTTCTATTTGTTGAAATTTGTTGGTTTAAAGTTTGTGAAGCTATGCTGCACATTACGAGCATTATGAAGGTGCGAGGGATAATTTCATGGTGACCCCAAATTATTATTACGTTTACACAAGTTTAAATTCATCCAGGTTCGTGTTAGATATACATGATTAAATCCGGGGTTTGACGGAATCCGGTCTGCATTGCTAAGAAAAAAAAAAAAACGCCGACCACAATAGAAACGCTTTAAAACAAAATAAGACCTTTTGGCCTCCGTGCGGGAGCCGAAACGGATTGTCTCAGCAATCGCATAATTGTCGAAAGAGTGTTAAAAAAGAAATAGACTTGACATAGCCAGTCGAATGGCTACGGGCTTCTGCAGAACCCACTTTGAAATTTCCAAAGTGTAATTTTTCCATTCTGGTATACAGAAAAGGCTACGACTAAGATTTCGTGCGCTTTTCGTTTGTGCTCAAGGCTGTGTGTTTTCAGTAAAATGCGCTGATTTACAATGACTCAACTGCAAAGAGATAAAAAAGGGAAGAAAAACACGAGAGGACCGACTAATGAAAGACTTACCACTACTGGTAGTTGGGCGAGGGCGGGATTCTTGTTCATCTTTTTCAGGATGTCAGCCGAGAAAGAGCTGAACGCCTCTAAGATTGCCTTCTGCAGCGTGTACCCGATTTGTTGATCTGTTGACAGAGAAGGATGGTACGTTTATGCAACGTGGCTTCACGGTACGACGACATAGTATTGAACGCACATAGCTATAGAGGCACCTTCACGGTGCCCATCTTAGCAGTTGAGTGCACACAGTGACATCTATATAGAAGACGAAATGTTTCTAAACTTTGTAAATGAAATATTGGGCTTTATGTATGCAGAGCTTTCGAATAGTTTAATCGCACAAGTGTCTTTAATGCTTGCACAATGCCATTTGCACAAGTATGTTAGTGCTCCACTTACACCGAATAATAATTACCGCAGCCGGAACAGATCACTGCTATGCGAAACATGATTTTCTGCCCTGCAGTAATGGGCTCGATTGCAACAGAAATCGCAGCGTAATCTTAACTGCAGATATGCTGAAGCTGCTCGTTATTGGAAAGTTCGCGCTTAAGGTGCTGCACATAGCGGGTCAAGCATCGTGCATGCACATCGCCGATTCTGGACGATATCACGTGTGCACATCGTAACTAACTTGAAAACAAGAACCCCTATAATCGTTGGTGTTTAACGTTCCGACACTACGACATTATTGTGAGCGTCGTCTTAGTGGAAGGCTTTGGAAATGTCGGTCAATTCGGGTTCTCTAACGCGCACCGAAAACATAGGTGCACGGCCTTCTATAGCATTTCGGCTCCATCTAAAATGCGGTCACCACAGCCAGGATTCAATCCCCCAACCTTTGGGTCAGCAGTTTAGCACGACATCCACACCACCGTGGTGAGTAAATGAAGGGAGGAAAAAAAAATACAGTTAACTCCGTTGCCAAAAAACAAGCCATTTTCACCGCAAGGGCGAAACGGTGAATGCGATAGCAACAAATTGGAATGGCATGCGGGGAACGGCAACCAGATCGAAACGTGTAGCGTGCTGCTCAAGACGAAAAAGCGCACAAAAAGAACACACAGGACGAGCACGATCTAACAACGTTCACAGCGCCACACTCAACGCGCTGCTCATACTCAAAGGACGCATGAAACGTATACGCACAGGTATATCAACGATGAGCGCGAAAAAACTGGTGTATCACAGTTGTTACGTCGCTGTGTTTTAAAAGCGTGCTCTTTTCGCAAACGGAGAGGCTGCAGCGAGCGAAGTTTCCGTCGTGCGCCCTGCAAGTACGACGCAATCGTTGCGATGAAAGCCCATGACGTACACTTCTCCGTCATCGCGAGAAGTCGTCGGCAGGGTTTTCTTTTGGGGGTGCAAACCAGTGTAACATCGCGGCTGGGGCACGGAGAGGGCGCTGGAGTAGCTTGATTGAGGGCAAGTGCTGGGGGAGGCTTAAGGGGGGGGGGGGGGGGCAAGTGACCCTTTTGCACCACCCTTTCGAATACCATGTGCATGCCGGGGACGTATGAGAACCCGCACGAGCGAGCCGTCGAGCGTGCCCTTCGCGCCATGTCGATAGAAAAGCTTAGAAGACGCTAATATTCCCCCCCAAGGTGGGCAAACTGTCAGCGGTAAACGAGTTAAAGAAATAGCTCGCCGTTACTATACGGTGGAGGACGTGCGCTTTTTTTGGCTTAGTGGCTGAAAAGGTGAAAAGGCCAAGTTTCTGCTATGCAGTGCGCGGCCGGCGCGCACTACTCACTGGTCATGTCCAGGTAGATGTTGATGCTGCTGTCCTCGATGGTGCGGTTGTCGGCGTTCACCCCGAGGAAGAAGCGGTAGTGCAGCGCCGCCGAGAAGTTGGCCCCAATGGCGATGGCACCCCACGCACTTCCGGCGCGAACCGCGTTCAGCGCCGAGTCCAGGTCGCGGTAATGAATCTGCGCCGAAGATGGAAGCGCTTTAGTGGACAGTGCTGCGACAAAGACTATGCGCCTATCTTATCGCTCGAAAGAGTGAAATCCACCCGTTTTGTAGCGGCATCAAGTGGGGCTTTCTAGTTTGGTAGTATACGTTTTGTACCCGTCTTGTAGTACCAAGCTGCAGAGGATATCGGTACGGTTGTTTTAGAGATTTTCTTGGGACGAGTTTTTTTTTGTGTGGACTAGGAAGCTTCTTTATAAACCTTTGGATATATTTGTTAGCTTCAAAAAACGGGTGGGTGAGGTTTTTTTTCCGTATTCCGATGTTTCCTTTACCGCTTAGGCCGAACTGATTCACCACATGTTATCGCTTAGTAAGAGAACTAACCAACATCGCTGCATATTCATTTCGACTCCAAAACCTGCTGAAATGCTGTTAAAACAATGAACAGGCTGTCTATAGCGAACCGTCTATTGCGCATTCGCTGACACAGTGTTCACTCTGCCGTCCACGTGGTTTTCCATTGACAATCTTTAGTTCGAATCTCCTCAGGCCCACTGTGTTACACGTACCTATGATTGAGGACTAACAGATACCGATGACAAGGGAAGTATAGGCGATGTTAGTTGTCTCGTGTAAATTAAGAAAGAAAACTGTACGAAAAGGTAACTTGCCACTGACGCGGATCGAGCCTGCGATCTTCGATTAACGCGTTCGTAGCGTATGCATGCGAGGCATTATTGGTCAACTGCCAATTCGCAATAAAATCACGTGCTACGTGACGTCAGCAGATGGGAAAGCTTCCCACTCTCCGTCATGGCTACTAGCGACGCTTACACACACCCACATCTATGTCCCAGTAACGAATGGGGGGGATGGTCGCCCCTGTAGCCTTACTATAGTTGGTAGAGCATCTGACAGTCTGGTCTCTGCCGGTGGTAAGTTTCCTTTTCGCCCACTTCTCGTTCTTCACACTCACGTTACTATTGGCAACATCCCCTATACTTTCCTAGGTGTCATTGTCGGATAGTTTGCATTGATATATTGTGTCTAACAACAACAACAACAAAAAAAAGAAACGAGCCCTTCATTTCTTATTTTTAACACATCTATAAGGGTTGTAACTATGTGGAAGGTAGGGGAATAATAATAATAATAATAATAATAATAATAATAATAATAATAATAATAATAATAATAATAATAATAATAATAATAATAATAATAATAATAATAATAATAATATTGTGGGTTTAACGTCCGAAATTCACAATATGGTTATGGAAGACGACGTAGTGCGGAGAGCTCCGCAAATTTCGCCCATCTGGGGTTCTGTAACATGCATCGACGTCGCCGCGGAGTACACAAGGCTCGATCACTCCGTCGACGAAACTGGTGGAAGAAAGATCACCTGACTGAGTGTGGTGTTGTCTATCCGCTGCAAGAAGGCGACCGAGAGTAGCGGGTGCGGCTCCTGGTTGACCACGGCCACCTGCAGCTCGAACGGGTCGGACCCGATGCACAGGCAGAACAGAACCACTTGCACGGACGGAACCAGGAAGGTGAACAGAAGAACTCTGCGGGGTGGAAGGCGATTACGCAAGTGCTGTAAAACTTTCAAGCCGACGTTTTCACGGAAGCCCGTTGGGTCGGGAGGTAACGTAATACAATTGAAAGCACACCGGCCATGAAATAGAGCTCAAATAGGGACGGTTTGTCACCTATAACGGGATCCTTGTTCACAATGAAAGCGAAGGACTAGTGAACACATGTTTATGAGGGCTCGAAAATGTGACGTAGATATGAGGGACCGCTCCGTCATTTCGGTTCAACGTATTATTCATCGTTTGAATCGCATTTCGAAGCCCTCATAAGCACCTCTTCACTCATCCTCGCTTTCATTGTGAACAACGCTCCTATCGGGGAAGCCGAAACTTTTTTTTTCGTGCTATTTTTCATGGTCGGTGTCCCTTTAAATCTACCACACTAGCGCTTCCTAATATTGTTGACAACTATATGTACCATAAAGATGGATGCTGTAAGCAACAGTGGGAGTGAACCTGGTGGTGTATTGCCAATGAAGGGTTATTTATCAGTGTGTGCATGATTATCCGCCGAGATAGACGGGGGTGGACAAGGTTTATCATTAGGAGGGAGTCTGATTATTAGAGGTTGGGTGGTTGCTCCCCAGGTGAACACACAAAACAATTCGTTAACCGACTAGATGAAAGTGACACTCCTTCCCTGGGCGGGAATGTATTCAGCAGGCAAGTAATTTATTTGATATCTTTGCTCTCGTCTTTTAACGCAGAAATTCCGGCGTTGGCGTCACTGGTTGTTGATTGTTATGTAGAGTTTAACGTCCCAAAACCACCATATGATTAAGAGAGACGCTGTAGTAGAGTGCTCCGGAAATTTCGACCACCTGGGGTTCTTTAACGTGCACTCAAGTCTGAACACACGAGCCTATACAACATTTCCGCCTCCATCGGAAATGCAGCCGCCGCAGCCGGAATACGATCCCGCGACCTGCGGGTCAGCAGTTCGTCATTCAATCCAACTCCCTTCTCCGACAGCGTTTTCCATCGCTTGGTGACCATTCTGTTGCTATTATACTGTCGTGTCGCATATCACCACGACTGAATAGAACGCACTGGCGCCCACCACAAACGCATTGATATTACCGTAGCTGTGGCATTGCACGTACGCGTCCGCTTCAGCTACGGGAGGTGCGGGGTTTGATCCCCAGTGCCGGCCGGCCACCCACCGGTAGCTAAACAGGGTACAGGCGGGCTTCGAGGGGCTGTGACGCATCGCCCCAGTGGTGAAGCTTACTCTGCCTGGATACTCCCAACACGCTGCGTGAGGACCCGGTAACGCATTGATATTCATGGTCATGGCCGTGAAAGGTGGATGGCCGGAAGCGTATTCAAGAGCAGCTATGTCACGCCTAATTGCAGAAGTTATTCATTCTAAGCATGCCATTGCGCTAGAGACTGGTTGAAATGTATGCAGCAGGCACTCGCGTGTAGTGGATGTACGCGAAATGGCCGTTTAAATAAGCGTTCGCAGGCTATTTTGAAACCATAAAGTGGAATGAAAACTACTGACAGGAGTTATTTTTGAGTGCGGGTCATTTTAAGGGGTCGGGCTGTCGTATGCTGTTGTCGCTTGGCATAACCATTTGTAGCATAGTGAGTACTCTCACGCCAAAGAGCGTTCTTCCTCGTGTTCTCCGAGCACCTTGATTGTCACGTGGTTGTGACGTCGACGTAAGAAACAGTCGGCAAGTAAAAAAAGGAACTCTTTATTTGGCCAAACTTGTGGCCGGGAAACTGAAGGTGAGACTACGGCAATACAAACTGTCACTGATAGCGGTGAACAGAGCGTCGGCCGTCGATCAACTGACAGCGCGTCAACATTTGTACATGTGCCGTTGAACCTTCCAGCCTGATAACTTTGCGCTCGAATAACCTTGAGTGTTCGTGTTTTGCGCGCAGTCTTCGCAGAACGATCTACAATGATTGCGAACCTTCTCGAACTATGAGGCGCACAGTTTGCGCTGGGCATTCCTGACAGTCTTTGCGCCGGTGAAAACCGAATGAAACAAGAATGAAAATAAGGAATGTGTGTAGCAAAACAAATAGTGCGCACTACTTTTATAGCAATCGAAACAACAGAAACAGCGCCTAATAATTGAAAGAAGCAAGCGAGATAAAGAAAAAGAAAAAAAAGAAAAAGAAACAAATAAAAAAATGGCAGATCCCACGAACAGTGGGAATCGATGATATGCGAAGCGCGAATGAGAAATGTTGATATGTCACTTTAAAATCAGCACAGCGTTACGAGGTGGAGGTAAATGATGCCGTACATGACTTCTGTGTCATGATTATCATGTTTGGATGTGTCGTTTACCTTCGTCATTATTCACGTCACGTGGTACCAAATTTAGTATTTGTGGAGCTAGCGAAACGGCCGCGAGCACGCTATGAGCGTGGTATGTTGTCATGTTTTTACATGACACGCGTGTCAGGATTATCATGTTTGCACCAGCCATATATTTCGTCATCCATTGACGTCACGTAACACCAAATTTGGTATGTGTGGAGCTAGAAAAACGGCTACGAATGCATCATGAAGGGTCCAATATACTCCAGTGTAGCGTTGACGCGCTGGCACGCTGCATAGGCACAGTGACGCTACGTTAGCAAAACGCGAGCACTCCATAGTCTGACGCGCGACCAGCGTCCGTCAGCGCGGCCCGACGGCAGCCGGTGCGACATGCGACATGCTGCATTTCGCACCGATGCGTTACCCAGACAACACTGTCTCCCTCTTTTCGTGACGGATGGACGCTGGATGGGCTGAAACGCGCATGCGTCAAAGCAACGTGGCGCAGCGCGTGCCTGCGAGTATATGGCTGGACCGGTGCCTGGTGTGGCAACGCCGGCGTGGTGACTAAATGAACGCCGGCGAGCACGTGCACCATGTCACGTCGAAATGTATTGGCGCCTTGACTGTGGCATGTAGTCATGTTCTCACATTGATTGATTGATATGTGGGGTTTAACGTCCCAAAACCACGATATGATTATAAAAGACGCCGTAGTGCAGGGCTCCGGAAATTTCGACCACCTGGGGTTCTTTAACGTGCACCCAAATCTGAGCACATGGGCCTACATTTCCGCCTTTATCGGAAATGCAGCCGCTGCAGCCGGGATTCGAGCCCGCGACCTGCGGGTCAGTAGGCTTGTACCTTAGCCACTAGACCACCGCGGCGGGGCTCATGTTCTCACATGACACGCATCTCATGATTATCATGTTTGCATCAATCGCATACCTTCGTCATCCCTATATTTTCTGCGCAGTGTTTTCCTATGGACACCACATGCAAGCGCGTGCTAGTGGGATGTTCAAAATTAAATCACGTGTGAAGGGAATAGATAGCAACGTCGAAGTCTTACGAACCAACACGTATCTTTACGCTTGAGAAAAATGAGTGTCGTATAAAGAAGAGCATCGTGGAACGCTTGGCAATGTCCTGGCTTGAATAAGTTCGGGTGGCATGTAATCTTGTTTAGCACTGAAGAGGCTTCGAAGTTTGCTTGCTGAGCACTCGACAAGTGAGGCAGTGCTTTTATTACTTGGACACTTCACGGGACAAAAGAAAAAAAGAATTCTTCGACCAGATGTGCAAGGTGTCTGTATTTCTTGTCTTTAAGGGCTGTGCCTCTAATAGCTTTGAGTTGCATGTTTTCACTGGAGGACGGTGTTGCCGGTGAACTTTTCGCTGATTACGAGGCTGCATGATGTGTCGGCTGACCAAACACAGTTCGGCGCACGCGAAAAGACGCTTACATTACAATTACCCGATGTTCAACTGATGGCGTTGAGAGAGCTCCGATTAAGAACAGATTTCCGTATGTAAGGCGCCAACATGGTTTTTCTACATGGGAAAGGGATTGAGGACAAAAAGGCCAGAAAAGGGTAAACTACCTGAGACGTCGTTACTAGATGACTGATAACTGACCGGCGTTGCGATCTAATGGCTTACGAAATCCAAAGCTTGATGGGAAGCCGTGTGGCGAGGGAAAAACATTGAAAAATTGCCAAACAGTAAAGCAAACACTGTACAAGAATATAAACATTTTAGTGTCGGTTTTAGTATGAGAGCCTTGCTCACATTAACATTCTATGAAAGAGGCTCAGCGTAATTAAGTACGCTACAGCACGTGACGCAAGCAGCGGAAGTGTCTCATCATTTATATGCAGCGTGTGTGTCACGGTCTGATTGCGCGAAACTTTTAGATGCATGCGAACGTGACGGAAGCTAATCTCTCATGGGCTGAAACACTTGCCCTTGCCCGAACAATATTGTGGCTCGTACATTCTATATGTTGTGCAGGGGCATTCGAGACTGCGTGCCGTTCCCAAACGTCGCGCTCGTGCTGTATCGCTCGTTTCTTGAAATCAGTGGTCTCACTGATGTACTTGTAATCACCTTCACCAGCTAATTAGGACTTATGCTTTCATATGGGAGGTAACCGAGTGGACACAATGAACGATAATATGGTTACTATACTCAAAGAGTGTGCAATGGAAGTCGGAGGTACAGTTACTAGATGGGACACTAACAATACCAGGAGACGAAAAATCTTGTTATGCGACGACAAACCACGATAGCCTAAATACAACCGACCAAATAAAGGTAATGGGGCTTTCGAAGTTAATAAATAGGCATAAGGTAGCCGACATCAAAAGGTAGAACATGGAAAGAATTGAGCAGGCTGCAAACAGCAACAGAAGCCTAAAATCTGCGAAGGCAGACTTGTGCATAACCGATGGGGATAGGATAGTTGAGGTGGCGGTAAGTCCTACATAGAGCTGTACAGAAGTCGATTGATGATTTGTAGGGTTTAACGTCCCAAAACCACCATATGATTATGAGAGACGCCGTAGTGGAGGGCTCCGGAAATTTCGACCACCTGGGATTCTTTAACTCGCACCCAAATCTGAGTACACGGGCCTACAACATTTCCGCCTCCATCGGAAATGCAGCCGCCACAGCCGGGATTTGATCCCGCGACCTGCGGGTCAGCAGCCGAGTACCTTAGCCACTAGACCACCGTGGCGGGGCTGTACAGAAGTTGAAACAACCAGGATGATATCGTAAGAAGCAATAATCGACCACAGGAATTCGACATCTTACCAGGGTAACGACAGGAGAAGTAATGAAAGCCCTAGAAGGAATGCAAAGAGGCAAAGCCGCTGGTGAGGATAAGGTAATAACGAACCTGTTGAAAGATGGTGGAAAAATTGTGTTAGAAAAACTGGCCAACTTATATACCAAGTGTCTCTTGTGGCAAGGACACCAGAATTTTGGAAGAACCACAGCATCATAATATTTCATAAGAAAGGAGACGTCAAGGACTTGGAAAATTTACAGGCCGATCAGCTTGCTGCCCGTTCTCTACAAACTATTCACAAAAATAATAGCTAATAAAATGGCGACTTTAGAGTTCAATCAACCAAAGGACCAACAGGATTTTGTACAGGCTACTTCACAATAGAGAATACTCATACTATCAATCAGGTTATATGAAATGCGTGGAATGCAACCAGCCCCTATAAATAGCTTTCATAGATACGAGAAGGCATTTGACTCAGTCGAGACATCAGCAGTGATGCAGGCACCACGAAATCAGGTCATCGATTGACCCTACATAAACATACTGGAAGAAATCGACAATGGATCCACAACCACCATAGCCCTCCATAAAGAAAGCGACAGAATCCCAAGGAATAAGGATGTATGGCAGGGAGGCACGATCTCTCCAGTGCTATTCACCGCGTGTTCATAAGAAGTATTCAGGACCCTAGATTGGGAAGAGTTGAGGATAAGAGTGAATGGAAACTATCCTAGTAACCTGGGATTCGCTGATGTCATTGCCTTGATAAGTAACTCAGAGGGCTGATTACAGCTCATGATTACTGAACTGGGCACGGAAAAGCAGAAGAATAAGTCGGAAAATTAATATGCATATAAGCTAAAGTAATGTCCAATAGTCTAGGCAGCAAACAGCGCTTCGCGATATGTGGAGAGACATTGGAAGTTGTCATGGAATATGTCTACTTAGGACAGGCAGTAACAGCGGAGCCGAACCATGAGAGTGAAACAGCTACAAAATCAAGAATGCGGTGGATCACATTCGGCCAGGATTCTCAATCATGAATGGCAATTACCACTAGTTCTCAAGAGAAAGGTATATGACATGCTGAATCTTGCCTGTACTTACCTACGGAGCAGAAACCTGGAGGCTTACAAAGAGGGCTTAGCTTAAATTGAGGACGACGCAGCGAGCATCGGAAAGGAAAATGATAGGTGTAACCTTAAGAGACAGGAAGAGAGTGGGTCATGGGAACAAACCGGTATTCAGGATATCTTGATTGAAATCAAGATAAGGGGCACGTAGCGCGTAGATAACCACTGGCCATTAAGGGTAGCTGACTGGATTCCCAGAGAATGCAAACGCACAAGGGGGATAAAGTTAGGCGGGCCGATAAGATAAACGCCAAGCCTGCGTGGGAAGCACAGCACAGTCACAGCGAAAGGTGGTAGAGCAGCCTTTCAGAGTCTTTTATAAACACTCTTTGGGTAACTGCTGCCACTTTCTGTGTACCCGCTACGCCATAAATAATTTCTGTGTAATAGGTCATCATTCACTATGCTATCCTTCGTCATTCTTCGGAAAAGCGTGGTATCCGCTACACACTTGCTATAGGAATTTCATGCATTTTTTTTATTCAGTGGCTGACGACGATGAAGGTTTACGCTTGAGGTGGGTATGCGCTACTGGTGATGGTGACGTAGACTACACCTTAGGAATGTTCTCGAAGCAACATCAAAAAGTATGCTATTGAGTTTTTTACACTTGAATATGGAATAAAAGAATGGCGGCAAAGCGGTTGACAGACGGTAGACGTTAATGTAGAAAACCGTACTTATAACTCGGAATAGAGAACCATGCAGACGAACTGGCATAGCGGACTCCTTGCGCAGCGACTCGTACACGATCGGGAGCATTATTTTACACAGCTGGGTGTTGAAGCAGCGTACACAACACAAGTGCGTCCTTTGAGTAACGTATCTTGTCAAGCTATAAGTGATTTGCATATGGCTGGTAAAACGTAGCAATACAAGACAGCTGTGTTAATGTAGACAAAACGATTTACGTGACCCCGTGCACTGCGTTGTGTGTCACTATTGCAGTTGTGTGTCACATATTGTCACATATTGCGTTGTGTGTCACATATTGAAAGTCACATATTGCAGACAAAGTACACGTAAAAAAATGAAGTTAAGGCAGCTAGAGCGGCAATGAAAGGTGGAGTTCACTCAGACTCAGGCGCACCAATATATTCATCAAACGGAGTTATTCAGGCTCAAGCTCACCAAAGTTGAGCTCATCCGGGTACACGGCTCGACCTGAGTAAGCGAGTCGACTCGCGAGCGAGTTTGCCGACCTGAAACAAGCGCGGAGCAGGGAGGTCTTGCTTCTCTGTGTGTTTGTCCCTTCGTATTTTTCTGTCTTCCATGTTCCTTCTGTGTTTCGTCCTTGTTTATTTATGGCTATCAACAGCTAATAGCAGTGAGAAAGCAGTAAGAAATTATTTTCAACACTACGACCAACTGGCTGTCTGTACCGCCGTGACGCTGAACTGGTGCCTTTGCAAATAGAAAGCCAACCACAACTAAGAACTGGCGCTTTCATTTAATGTTCCAATATATCAGGCATCGACAGGTGTCCCAAACACTCATTGCCTACTGGTTTACGAATCCCAGTTGCGTGAAAAGATTAGTTCGAAGCGATCGCCGACTTCAACCTGAATTGGAATTACCTGTTGGGCAAAATGTTTATCTGTACGTGGACGCCTAGCCAAGCAGACATGGAAATTTAACTCACGGCAAGTTCCTGTGCAGCCTGGTCAGGGACTTTGCCACGAGCGCCCACGTCCGGAACCAGGCATCCAGGAAGGGCTCCTTCTTTCGCACAGCGTGCTTGTCGCTTAACTCCTGCGCCGTCATCGCGGGCAGCTGTTCCACGCTGGCACTGTTGCGTTGCACCAGGTGGGTCATTGAGTTGGAGGTCAGGGTCTCTTTGCTCGCAGCGATGTTCGCCAGCGTCTTGCCATTGGCAGTCTCAACTGAAGGCGGGGCCGGGACGTCACCGTTCTCGGCCTGCTGCTGCTGGATGGCGTGTCCGCCGTTGTGGTTGTGGTGATTGTTGTTGTCGGCCATGCACAGCTTGAGGAAGACGTCCTCGAGCGTCAGCATGCCGTGCTGCTTCATCAGGTCGTCGGGCACCGCCTGTGCAAGGATTCGACCCTGACGCATGAGACCCACGAGGTTCGCCAGCCGGGCCTCCTCGATGTAGTGAGTCGTGATGATGACACTGATGGACTCGCGGTGCGTCAGGGTGACCAGGTAGTGCCATATGCTCTGCCTCAGCAGGGGGTCCACGCCCACCGTCGGCTCGTCCAGTATGAGCAGCGGTGGCCGGTGAATCAGGGCGGCCGCAAGGCTGACTCGTCGCTTCTGTCCGCCGCTAAGGTTCTTCACCAGCCGGGTCTTTTCGGGCAGTCCGAGGAAGCGCACGAGAAAAGCGGTGCGCTCTTTGAGCACGTCCCTTCTTATCCTGAACAGCCGGCCGAAGTATGTGAGCGTCTCGATTATGGAGAACTCCGGGTAGAGAGTCAGCTCCTGTGGCATGTAGCCCACGCCGGGCCCAGGTATGTAGCTGCCCGGCTGGCCCGGCTTGTGGCCGAACACGTGAACGCTGCCTTGCCGGGGTTTTAACCGACCTACAATGCATCGTAGGAGAGTGGTCTTGCCGCAGCCACTCGGTCCAAGCAGTCCGTATCTGCAGTTAAGGAAAAAAAGCAACGTGGTCTTTATTACTCTCGCGTTAAAGCGGAAGTGGACGGGCAGCATTTTATAATTTCAATCAACCGTAAGTGAACAAATGAACCATGAGGTACACTGAAGTTCAGTTCCTGTTTTAGCGTGAGGGAAAAAAGACGTACGTATTTCATCGCTTCGTGACATTTGTCTTGGTAAAGTCTTAAATTTCTTTTTGTGTTAAATTCACATCATGCATTGAATTGGGGCATAAAGTTCAAAAACTTTTTGGAGTTGCCAAGTTAACTCTCTTCAAGGGAAATTCGTTCGTGTAATGTACTGGCAAAATGTAGTGCTTAAGTCAGTCTGGCATTTTATAATTACGCTTAGTGAAATTACTTATCTGTTTGCGTGGATTAAGGCTTAGTACATAGGTTACAGGTACGATTAGTAGTCAACACGTAAGCGTTTGTAAACACTTGGCGTGGGTGGGTTAGAGGGCTAAGAATTTTACACTAATGTGAAATGTTCCTGTCATGGTAACACAATTCCGAATTGATGTCAAGTTTAATGAGCTCTCCTATCACGCCTTCTGGTTCGCTAACCTTTATTCCCCTTATATAGGGTGGGTAACCACAGGGTAACCACAGGCTTTTCTGGTTAAGTTCGTTGCTTCTGCCCTTTTTCTTCTTTCCTTAGAACCGAAATTTGGTTATTGCAACACTGCTATACAGGATCCAAAACGGCGTCATCCTAAATTTCGTTGTTGTGAGCTGAAAATAGAAGTACAGGGACTATTATGCCTGTACATATATGAAAAGTGGACCATGACTAATTACTAGCACTAAACGAGCCCTAGATGTCACTGGTCGTAAACCCCGCCCACCAGTGGTGACCGCCATTTTGACATGACGGCCATGACGTCATGTGCTACAGGAAGCAGAGGTACCGTCTACTACGGAATTTTCAGCCAGTTCAAACCGTTCGATTTAAGGGCCTAAGCTGAAGAAAGCTAAAATACCTCCATTTCACGCGCAGCTGACCACGGAACAATATCGTTCGCCGGTGCAGGCGCTCCAGCAGCAAGCTGCATATTACGTCACGACTAACGAGTGCGCCAGTTCTTCCCGACTAAGTCCATTCGTATGTTTATAAAAAATATTAAGTTATAAACTAAGTGCTCTACCGAATGCGCCAAAATTTTGCCTGCTTATTTATGAATGCGCAAAAATCACACTATATAGCACAGATTACAATAAAAAAAGGGGCGCCATATTGTAGGGACGGGACGAATATTTTATTGCTGTCAGAAACGAAGTTTCCAGCTTTGTCCCGAGTGCTTCTGGCAGGGCTTCATGTTTGAAAAAGATAGTTGACAAAAGCGGCAAATCTTTGCAGATACAGATCAAGCGTCATCACAGACATGTCTATGCACAATCTTGCACACAAACCGGAGTGAACTCACTCGGGACACCAGTCACGCAAGATATCTAAAAGCGAATTGAACTTCACCGAAGAACATACTAACAGTTATGGCTCATGGCCTCCTGTATAAAGGTGTCCATACAATCTGCTAAGTCGGCGTGTGCGACTGTTCGGTAAATGATGCTGTATTAGGAGGAGTACTATGAAAATCGAAAGGGAGTTGAAACGTGAAAGTAAACATTTCAGTTGTAGCCCGAACTGCGTTAATAATGCATGATAGTATATGCCTCGAAACAGTTATAGTGGATCCGTTTCACGAATTAATAGGTCATCTTTAATAGGTCATTAGTAAGACATCTTTTCACGACATTTCGCGCGACGCGATCGCTCGCGAGCACACAGGCGACGCACGTGAGCGGTGGAAAAACTCACATCTTGCCCTCGGGCAGGCTGAGGTCGATGCCCATGAGCGTCTGGACTGCGCTCTTGCCGCGGCCGTAGGAGACGCGCAGTCCTCGGACGTCGACGACCAGCCTGGACGGGGAAGACGTGGCGTTGCCGAACGCCGGCTTGCCGTTGGACGCCAGCACCGGCATGGCAGCACCGAGCTTGCCGTTGGCCGCTCCGGGGGGCGTCGGGAACTGCACAGAAGAGGCATGGCAGCCGTTGGCAGCACAGTGGAGACTCCGTATCCGGGCCTCGGGTAGGATCCTGGAAGGCGCATCTAGAGCGTGGCGGCTGGACGCGGCGGCGCGTCCCTTGACGGGCCGGTCCGAGCGGTGGTGGTGGTAGCCGCGTTGCAGCCGGCCGCCCGAGTGCATGCTAGGCCAGGCCCGGCTCGCCACTGAACTAATGACCCAGAAGCCCCGCCGAGGGGTCTGTACGGGACCCGCGAGGGGGGACGCCTCCTCCCCGCGCTCCGAGACGCCTCCCGAGGCATCGTTCCCCTCGCTCGCCGCGCCGCTAGGCTACATTCCGTTGCGGGCCGTTAGAACAGCTGGAAGAGCTCGCACTTCGCCGAGACCGCGAGCGACACGCGGTGGTGTTCAGCGGCGCGTCTTCGTCGTGCGACGTTGCGGTGTTTCGCGAGCCGACGCAACTTCGTCTCCCATTTCATTGTAGGCCGTGCTTCCTTTTTTTAATGCGAAAAGCGACGTCTTGCCCGAGTGCTAACCGCATTTCCAAAATTCAGCTGACAATGTTCCCGTGCCAGCGACGACGTTCTGAGGAGGCCTCGCGAGATGGGGGTCGTGTTATCGGCGTATGAGTTTTCGGAGGCCTGCGGGACAGTCTGGACATTTGAGGTATGGAAGGAGCCGACCTCAGACTTACTATAGAAGGAAGTGGTCTCGTATTTTGCAACCAGCCAAGCGCAACATGTCCTGATTGGAATACGACTGCCAGAAGTGCGCAAATGCCATTTTGCTGAGCACACTGTGGCATGTTATGTTGTGGTATGGCGAGGTGAAACAGATTTTCATTGTGCTATTAGCTGACGCAAATGTGACGCATGGACACACACACAATTATATATAACACCGCAGGTGCAGTGACATTGAAGCGGCTGACAAAACTTGCTATTCAACTTTTAATTAAAACAAAAATGCCGCAGGCCATGACAATCTACGGCATATTCAATTCTAGAAGCAACACATGTACGCAATTTGACATATTCATTATCAAATGTTAAGGCCGACATCGAAAATGACAGGGGCGCGCAAGAAACGAACCTACTGTGTTGCGTCAGAACAGAACTACCCTTGACCACGAAGTTGTGAAATGTGAATCATGGCTTAAGCATATCTGATCAGGTAAGACGCTAAGTCCGCTGAGATGCACAAGCATAGTCTATTCGTTGAGTATGGTGTGTACAAATGCTTATTTGTTGCATTCTTAACTCTACTAAACAGGCGCAAGAAACTCCCGTCTGCAAGGTGAAGCATCGGAGGGGCTGCCCCCGAGATTTACCGAGACAGAAATGGTGGGAATCACGGAGTGCTGGGCGAGTTGGTGATTCATCTTAACTGAGTTGCGTGAAAAAAAAAATTGAAGTACAAAGGAAGACACCTGAACGCAGCACTAACAACTGAAACTTGGGGCTTCTAGAAAAGTTGCCTCAGCCGGATGTAACTTAATGGAGGGTTTCGCGACACATTAATCACCAGCTTTGTTCATGAAATACGGCTCTTCAATTTTCCGCGCATTAGCTCCCCATGCCTTAGCCGGTTTCACACTTATATTTCTCTGTCGGAACTAGTTAGGTCTTTGAATACATTTTCGGGTGTGCTCATGTAAAAAAAAAAACTATAGGATCTACAGTTTTCACGCATAATAGCGACACACTCGTGTGGACAAAAAATAAAATTTTAGGAATTTATGGTAACGTACTGTACAGTGGGATCATGACCCGCATGAGCGGGGAACGCTGGAGTAAATTAGACCACCCGTTGTTCTTTAACCTGCAGACAAAATGAAGCATACTGCATGTGCTAATGCACTTTGACCTGCTTTGAATGCAGCCACTGTTGAGGGAGTCGAACCTGGAACCTCTTGACTCGGGAGTGTTTCGCCATGATCAATAACTGAACAAGTTCAATCGCGCGGTATGACCACTGCGCAAATAGCAAGCGCTCACACAAACATACAAAACAACGAAAAATGAAGTTTGCAAAAGTTTACAGTTGAATAACTGTCATTCCCGATACAGCATTCTTCTGACTCCAATGTTCACAATCATGTTCCAGTGACACATTCAGCTTGGTATTTGACACGGTTTCGTACCCACTTGGTATTTGACACGGTTTCGTACCCGAGTATTTGATCTGCTATGATGCGGGATAAAAACAGGTTTCGATAACGTGCAGAAGCGTAAGTATTTGCCGTACTGAACTTGCGAGACCCCATGATCGACAGTTCACATAAACAAACGGACGAGGGTAATTTCAGCATACTAATACTTCCCCACCCTACGTAATGGAACATCACTGCAGATGCATGTTTCCACGTCACGGCAGATAGTCGAACCTGTAGGCAAGCATCCCTAAAATAAAGCGTGCAAACAGGTAGAGAATGAGGCAACACAAACACAGTGTCAATCTTGTTTTCCGTCGTAGTGCGCTCTATCAGTTGCTTGTGTTGTCTTGTGTGCTCCTCTCGTATCCGTCTTCACATGCATTACTTGTTTTAAGAGCGAGACCTATAAAGCTCGAGTTAAAACGTCGGGTGTCCACAGATAACCCTCCGCGCTTATGAGCCGCGCCCACCGACGGAGACAGTACGCAAGGCCGCAGCGTAGTTTTCCGGCGTGGCGCGAGCCGAGTATACGCGCTTCTAGACCGCGGGTGTCAGCCAGCGTTGCACGCGAGTGTCTGGTGCCGGAGTTTGGACATTTTTTCAAGGTCTGTGTTAGGCTGCGGATCGACTGTACTTTGTCTATATGCCAAGGAGAGACCTAGCATCAGCCAAGAAGGCAACATTTCAGCCCCTCAGATCAGCCAGCGTCGCTGTTTTTAAGCTTTTCATGGCTATCGTAAACTTCTCTTTTTCAATTAAAAAAAACGAATAGTTGGACAGATCGCGTTGATTTTATTGATTTAGATGCGGGGTTTAACGTTTCAAAACTACCATAATATTGTAACGGGTGCAAGAGAGCAAAAGTAAAAAACTAGTTTATTATGGGCGAACTTGTGCCCTGAAAATTATAGTGCGAAAAGATGGAAGAGTCCGCTAGAGCGTTCCAAAAACAAAAACTGTTCCTCTGTCCACGCACCTTCTTCGCAGCTCCAGCCCACACTGGCTCGTGCCTGTGAACAAGAGGCATGAGTCGTGCGGCCCCAAGCAAGAGTGCGCACAAGACTGTGGACGCTGATTTTTCATAATGTCCGATATTGTAAACAGTCTCTGTGGCAATATTGTCAGACGCCGTCGTGGAGGGCTCTGGAAGTTTCGAATACCTGGGGTTCAACGTTCACCGAATATCAGCACACGGGCCTACATCAATCTCGCCTCTATTGAAAATGCAACCACCACAGCCGGGATTCGATACCGCGAACCTACGGGTCAGCAGCCGAGTACGTTAGAAACTAGACCATCGCGGCGGGGCTAGTTGGACAGACCTGTGCCTACGTAGTGCCTCTATGGCCATTGAACACTTAGCCAATGAAATACACTATAAATAAAAAGGACACAAGATTCAGTTTAGTGAAACAGCACATCAGACACAAGTAGTCAAGCATGAGTCTGGTTTGGTAAAGTAAGTTCACAGTGTACGTGTCCAAAACAAGATATTCTGTATGGCTTGACAAGCAGCAGGAAAACATGCAATGAATCATTACGCATAACATCAAATGCATGTTCATATACCTTCTGGACATATTGTAAAATGTTATGCATGTACGTTTTATTACATTATCATGAAATTAAAAAAAAATGGCGCATAATGATTTCAAACACACACGCACAAAAAAAACACCCCAATGTGATTTCTGATCAAGGCGTATTTCATTAACGCATGGGTTAATATGATTTGATTGATTTGTGGGGTTTAACATCCCAAAACCACCATATGATATGAGAGACGCCGTAGTGGAGGGCTCCGGAAATTTAGACCACCTGGGGTTCTTTAACGTGCACCCAAATCTGAGTACACGGGCCTACAACATTTCCGCCTCCATCGGAAATGCAGCCGCCACAGCCGGGATTTGATCCCGCGACCTGCGGGTCAGCAGCCGAATACCTTAACCACTAGATTACCGTGGCGGGGCACGCATGGGTTAATAAAAAATGCTTTATTTTTTTCCTGTTTTTTAGGGGTGGGGGGAGCGAATCGCGGGTGTCGGCTATGAGTGGCCTCAAAACAGTGTAATTTCTGCCCGTCGGCAATCCACCTGAAACGAAGTTCTCTGCCTTTTATTTTTTTTTATCATCCCAGCAATCGCGGAATGTGCTTTGCCTCGTTTGCCTTTTCTGCCAAGCGAGATGTGCCGTTGTCAGATAGGAAGGAGACGCAGTGGCCGCAGGCACTTTTTCCCATTCTTGCACGCTCTCTCGCTGGTGCAGTGCACTGCTCCGTCGAGGAAGTGACTGATCCGCTGCTCGATGCTGAGAGAGAGAGAGAGAGTACCGTTTTTTGCAAGAGAAAAACCGGTCAGGTGGCCAGTCCTCGCCTCTACGAAGAACCAAAAAAAGAGGCGAGGTACTCTCACCCTCCTGTTCGGCATCTTTCTGCCTATATGCTCCTCTCCCTCTGCGCTGCTTCAGTGGTGACCTCAGGCATGCGCTCTGGTTTCGCCTAGTACACTGACGTCACAAAGGCATCGGAGTTGCTTTCGCGACCTGATGTCGCCGCTCGCCGTTCTTCCGGCCAGATTTTCGCCCGGGGCCTCCGTTTTAGAGGCCTTTTGGTTTTTGTCTTTCCAGTCAGATGAAGAGGGAGAAGGCCAGTGTAGCGCTTTCGCCGAATTCTTGCCCCTGGGGTCACGTGGGCGTGGCCAGAGTGGGAAACATCGACTCAAATCTCTTTTGTTTGTGGTGTTCTGTTAATCGTCTTTGAATCTGTGCCGCCTTTGAATCGATTAGAAGTAACCGGTTAGTAAATCGATCGAACGACAAAGGAGTGTCCATCTCAGCTTGCTAGCTGATAATATGAGCGAATCTGTATATTCAATGTACCTGGCCTTGGGGAAAAAAAAAAAGCATCTTAGCATTAGTGATGAAAGCCGGATGGAAGTTTTTTTTTCCCCTTCCTCTATTTTTTTGTTTTCCACTTTGTTCTTTTATCTATTTATTTCTATTTATTTCCTAACATTCTTTCTATATTTTACCTTTTTCTGTTTCTCGCTTGCCTTTTTCTCTTTTTTTCAGTTTTACGGGCTGCTGAAGTGCTCCGCACCTATTGTCACCATCAAGGCGCTCGAAGAACAAGAGTAAGAAGGCTTCTATCTGGCGCGAGCGAGCGCTACAGCTGGCTGTCCTATGTCATTTTGCCTGCGTTACGCTAAGCGACGATGACAGCGTACGACAGCCCTGCATCCTAAAGCAGCTCAATCGCGGCTTGACTGCACCGCAGCGTACCACCCTGGCACTACGGTGCACCACAGATCTCATAAGCGATGGAAGCAGTTTACATGCGCGAAAGCGCCCTGGCCTTCGCGCTACACCACAATGCAACAGCTTGCTTCCACAGGAACTTGCCGTTGGCACTTCTTGTAGCAGTGACGTCGGACTCCCGCTGTCGCATATCAATGCTCGAGCCATCATCATTAACAGCAGGATGAAGACTTCTCCTATGTTCCAGATGTCAACTTCGGTCCTGTGCTTGCTGTCGCCATTTTATACAACAAACTTCCTAATCAGATCGGCCCTACCTAACTACCTGTCTCCCCTTCACCAACTTGCCTTATCTTGGAATACAGCCAGTTACCCTTAATGACCAGCGGTTATCCTGCCTACACTGCTACGTGCCCATGTCCATTTCTTCTTGATTTCAGCTATCATATCCTTAACCCTGCCAACGAACACACGAAGTGTGTAACTTATTGAAGAACTATTTGGATAGGTTTGTCTTCTGGCAATGCCGAGGTGCGCTGTGAATCCGCATGTACGTGATCTCATTGCGAGCTTGCAGCTGACCAATGCTATGTGAATTATGCGCAGAGCACTATGCTATGTGAATTCGACACACAATCGGAGACAGCGCATCATAATTCGCACCTGCAGGAAATATGGACGAATAAGTGGACGTACTATGGGCGTCAAATGGTTCTCGAACATCGTTCACAACGATATATAGAGAACGCCCTCTAGTCATTCTTTGACAGGAGCGTGCACCCAGAGTGGCTTCACATGCGATTGCAAATGCTTGTCGCTGTTGGAGTTTGATTTGACGCTGATAGTACGTCGCGCCAGTATATATAGGCCCACTTGTTCTTTCAGTCATTGTCACACGAAGTGCACTTGAACATAAACATTATTATGGGTTGCCCTAACGTCATCGAAAAATGGTGTCACGAGAATGTTATGAGTGCATCGCTCGCGGTTTTTGTCATTCTGTGACATATATAGGTGAAATAAGTTTCGGGCACATGTTTATCACATTGAAGCAGGTTAACCGCGGCAGTGAATTCTCTAGATTGGCGTTATTGTAGGCACCATGTAGCAGGGACAGTACGCCAAGCAACTGCGTACTGACAGCGTACAAGCTGCCAATTGGAAGAGTACTCGTACGCATGGTACATCGCAATGTTGGATCATATTATGCCTCCATCTGCGTTGAGGTCTTCCAATGTGACCTGACGTCTATCATACCGGAACTTGGTTGCTGGATCAGCGCCTGACAGAAACGTACTTGAAATGCCATTGTGTGAAAGGCGCGACAAGTGGGTGTCTTAGTATTGATTTCGCTCGAAGCGCTGACTAAAATGCCCAGGCTTATATGCACCTATATACAACATAAAGAGGATGACCGCCACTTAATACAGTTAGCAAAGCATCAGGCGCGTACGTGAAGGTCGCAGGTTCGGTTCCTGCCATTGGCAAGCCATCTTTCCGACGATTTTCTCGCTTCGTATTTACATTACATAATTAGCACTGATAACATACCATACTCGTGACGTCATTGTCTACGATTAGTACTTATGTCCTCGAAGCTAGTCTTGTAATTCTAGAAGTATTAAAGGAGCACTATTACCCAATCAGTGAGCCGTGGAACGGCTGACGGTAGATTTCTCACGAGCATCATATAGACTATCTTACGTAAGACATATGGGTGCCGCAATTTCGGGCTGTCCTGACGTTTTTTTTTGTTTTTGTGTATCGCGTCGTTAATTAATACGCCATGAAACATTGTATGCACCAGCCGAACACATTTCTTGCATATGCGTCTACCGTAACGTATAGTTGTTAAAAATGCAAAATACAAAGGTTTACAGCCCAATACGGTGGCACGCAAACACGTTCGTAAAGTAGTATACGTGTGCTAAATGGGCATTACTTGGGATGGGTTTCTACAATGTCACGTGCATCAAACAGTGCACTGCACAAACATAGGCCTTTAGATATGTACAAAGATAGAACGACATAGGCATAAATTTGGAAGAACAGTTTTCGTAAAGTACAAAGAAATTCGAAATCATTCAGACTCACCAAAAAATGTATATTTCGCCCTGAGAACTCACTCGGACCTAACTGAAATTTTCCTCAACTTGACTCACTTGGTCTCAATCTCACCAACATGTTGTGCATCTGGACTCACTCGGGTTTAAACGACTTGACCTGAAGCTGAGTGAGGTCGACTCATGGGGTATAAACTGTCTTTAACGCCAATATCCCACATAATCGATGCTATACGATGCGTCTTCAAGCACGAGTTATCAGTGGTGGAAATCCACTAAAGATGTTTTTATCAAACATGTGACTGACAAGATATTTCCATCAAGAATATCCCGTGAAAAAGTTTGGGGAGGTAAAGGGCATGAAAACCCCTGCCCTCCCCCCCCCCCCTAAAAAAAGCTGGCGTCTTTGATTAATAAACATTGAGATGGCGCATGAAGACCAGTGGATTGGTTGAGATATGGGTGAATAGACTTGAATGTAAACGTAAACGGACATAAGGCTGATATACTGATAAGCGAATAGATAGGAGCCCGTACAGATGCGCGAATATACGTGAATTGCGACACAGTAAAACCAATAGTATTGGCAGGAAGAAGGGAGCCCTTGGTAAAGCACCGTCATAGACTTGTGAAGTCACAGCTAGACGGGATGATTCCTTAGGCTTGAGTGCACCGCAGTTTATAAATAATCAGGTATTGCTACAGACAAACGCATGCAATGGTTCCCATGAATTGGGCACAAATGTTTTGGAAGACTTGGCCTACACACGTTCGCGACTGAAGAACTTCACATACTGTCTCCCGGAATAAACTGCGCGCGGGCGAATACAAGTCCCGCAATTCGCGCCCGAAGGAAGTGCATGCACACTGCTCGTATACCACCTGTACGCTTGTACGCAATGAATTCGTTACTTTCCTTCCGCAAGTGTATATCGTCCTCTATAACTAAAGTAGAGTCAGCGTTGATTAGCAGTTACTGCGAAACATTTACTGATACTTTTAAAAGCAAGCTATCTAAATTATTATCCCCTGAACAGCCACAGACGTTGCGATTTCGCGCTTGGTTGGCCATAGCTAGCTATGCCGTAGCCGTCCGTCGAAAATCAGCACAGAGTGCATGGAGAAGGAATGAGAAAGGGAACAGAGGCGAGTGCTGATGAATGGGTCATCAACGAGATGAATTACCAACGAGATGGATTACCAACAAGACGTATTATCAACCAGCCTAATCTCAAGCTTCGTTTCAGGAAACTGCCGGCGACACGACTAGGTCAATTAAATTTCCCGCGTAGAACACAGTCTCCCCAAGAAGTTCCTGTCATTTTGTGCGCCCCCGAGTGAGACTTGCTGCGTATATTCACGACGCAAGCTACAATGAGAATTCTTCTACTCTTACGTCGCAAAGTCATGATATGTTTACGAGGAATGCCGTATAGTGGAGGGCTCCGAAAATGTCGAGCTGTTGTGGTTGTTTAACGCGCTAAGCACACGGGCCTTTTCCACCCCGTCAAAATGCGGCCTCCGGGATCCCGCGACTTGCGGGTCAGCGGTCGAGCACGACAACCCCGGCGGGTGGCGTAAACTGCAAGAGTTGCGCTCGCTCTCGTGATTCTACAAGCTTGTTCAGATCGTGAACACTCGCGTCCACTTCCAATGGGTGCCGCACAAGACGTACAAAGGACAAATAACCCCAACTAATTTACGGAGATATAATCGTGTAGGTTTAGGCGGGTTCCTTTACCTGCACTGGATCACCCACGACGTTAGTCCAGCTGGCCATCTTTGTGCTCGCCTAGAAGCGGTGGCGTGCGACGGTCGTCAGGCCAGGGTGCGACAAGCTCAGACTAGGGGCGGGGGCGGTCCTCGCCGGACGACCATCCAAGTGGGACTACTGTGGAAGCGTAGGCGGCCGGTGCGGTCTCCGGCCGCGGAATGACGGTACACATGCACGCGGTGGGGCGAAAAGAAAACACGTGGTTTTGGTCCGAGAAGGAAGGTGGGGGGCGGGGTCATTTGCGTTTCTCTCTTACTCTTGAATTGCGATTACGTTAGTTAAGGGTGCGAGTGCGCATGCTTGAACCCGGAAACAAGTAGGGGAGGAGGTTTTCAGTTAATGCCGAAAATGAGTGGGGTGTAGAACCGGATAGCGATAGCGGAAACATATCTGCAGGGCATAGCCATTGGTTTGAATGAGGCAGCGTCACGAAACAACTGTTCGGCGAGTGGGGACCGGGGTCTCGGATGGATGGCAGCGGCGTGTCCTAAGTGGGAGGAGGGGGTGTTAAACCCCCTCCCTCACGAAAATTTCCAGTTTTGCTTGTGTATATATACACGCACGCATACCACATGCACGATTATGCATTACGTATGGTTGACCCCCCCCCCCCCAAAAAAAAAAAAAAAAAATCTGGCTCCACCTTTGATGGATGGGACAATGCTATCGTCATTAACTGCTCTATTTCCGAGGAAGGCGAATATGGCAAATCAACGGCAGCGCTCGAGATAAACAGGAAAAAATAAACAACAGAGAAACAGAGGCCGTCTAAAATTCAATAACGAAACATGCAAGCGTTGTATTCTCTTCCGTGTATGTTTGATTTATTGTATAACGCGCTGTTTCGGACGTTCATAAAGTATCGCCCAGCCCAAATTAACGCACTCGGGAAACGCAGACACATTCCTTCTTCGGTCTCATTGGTCTCAACTTGAGAACATGGTCATGCAGAAGAAAAAAAAAAAAACTTCTGGAGAGACTCGAGAACTTACACACCGAGCTGGGGCGTCTGCGGGCAGCCCTTACGCATACCTCGAGAGCGATGCGGAAGTGGACGTTGGGGGATCGCAAGCATTTTCAGAGACACCGCACAACACTACAGATAAAACAGATCCAAATATCCACCACCCCACGACAAACGAAACAGGAGGTTGCCTGAAGACGGTCATAGACTCACACGTGCCCGAACCCAGTGATCCTATACGTTCATGTTATCCTGCCATTTATACATCTAAAGACTGTAAAGCGTGTGGGGCAAGAGCGACGCTGTAGCCTATGCTATAGCACCGGTAGCAAGCAGCAGATCCCAACGAATCGGGTTGGCATGACAGTCTCGAACCGCGGGGCGCGATGGGAGGCGGCTCTGCTCAGCCACGACCTCGCCGATCAACTTTGGGCCGTCCGGAACGCACAGGAAGCCGCCCGTGTCCAAGGGCTCGAAGCCGTCACCTAGGCTGGGTGCTTTGTCACCCCACCCCGCTAAATACCACCGGACATTCTCAATAAAGTTTTTACTCACTCACTTCGGAGAGGTCCTCGTTGTGCTTAACGTGGGCTAGAATTTTTGTGTGTGTGGCAATGATGCCTCTGACTTGGTAAATCTTAGTAAACTGTCATATCTGACACCGGATATCCCTAGTTTTTTTTTTGTTCCTTCCAGTTATCAGCCGATAAGTACGTATCTTTTAGCTCGTCTCGTTCTGTCTTGGTTTGAGCACGTCGTGACTCAGATGGTTTTCAACAAGGCTGATAAGAAATATATGTTATAGCAAGGCTCACAATCACGGCTACTAAAAAAAAGAAAGAGAAAAGAAAGGCAATGTCATCTTTTAATAAATATGGTAGGTCAGCCTGACGTGTACTGTTTTGTTGTATCACTGTCAGGACGAATGCAGAAAAAACGTTCCTCTCGGCATTCTCAGAATTCTTAGAAGGACTAAAGTAGAGGCTATAGTTGGGTGTGCATATTTGACACTTGCGACCCGCTGTTTGGACATGAAGAAAGACCAGCCATTGTCTTCAAATTTTAAGGGCGCTCACACAAGCGATCGTTAAGATACGACTGGTTTGCCCGACACACTTTTGACCATATACGACGAGGATATACGCAATACACGACACCGTAGGCAATTCGTGTGACAAAAAACAATAATCTGAGCGTGACATAGTCCTTTTATGAATATTACCTAGCTGTTAAGGCCTTCGAACTTTGGCGCATCAATATAAGACAGTTGGGTGTCATGTTATAAATAGCAGTGGTGTAGCAACCATAACTTTGTGGAAATAGCGCCTGTGCATTTATGGGGTCCTTTGTATCGTCCGTGTTTTCTGTGCACAAAACCACATAAATCATAAGCCTATACAGAACGCTTACCATTGGACTTGTCCAAGCACTTCTGTGGCCCGGCATTTTCTCAAAATAATTCAGGGAATTTCGTCAGCACAGACTTTGTGCGGTTAGCGATGAATTGGTATCGCTTGAGCAGCTGGCGCTCTTGCATAAATCACCCGCCACGGTGGTCCAGTCGTCATTGTGATCGACTTCTAACCCGAAGGTCGCGGGATCAAATCCCGGCGACAGTGACCGCATTTTCGATGGAGGCAGAAATGATTGAGGCCCGTCTCTGCAGATTCAGGTGCTCGTTAAAAAACGCCAGAGGGCCGATCATTTTGGAGCCCTCTTCGAAGGCGTCTCTCATAACTATACTCTGGTTTTTAGGACGTGCTTCTTCAACAGTTCGTAGTATCAGCTGACAGCCCCGCCGCGGTGGTTTAGTGGCAAAGGTACTCGTCTGCTGACCCGCAGGTCGCGGGATCGAATCCCGGCTGCGGCTGCTGCATTTTCGATGGAGGCGGAAATGTCGTAGTACCGTGTGCTCAGATTTGGGTGCTCGTTAATGAACCCCAGGTGGTCGAAATCTCCGGAGCCCTCCACTACGGCGTCTCTCATAATCATGTGGTGGTTTTGGGACGTTAAACCCCACAAATCAAGTATCAGCTGATAACTCAATATGCTGAACTTGTTTTGACTTGTCAAGTCATCTCTGTTGTGCACATTTTTGGAGTAACTTCGAAAGCTTCAGTTTTCACACGCTCCTTATCAATATGACTCTGTTGAGAACCTTCACCGTGGCGACCACATGCTGCGTAGCTACCAGTGCGCTATGGTGATAAGCCAAGTTTCGTTGCATTAAGTGATTTTTCTTTCTTTTTTTTCCTGGGAAAGTGAGGGTAAAACGACGCATCTGAAAAAACAAAAGGAACAGATGTTTGTTTGGAAAAGTAAGCGAAACAATTGATAGTCTATTGGCTTGCGTTTCTGCGCACTCTGCAAGCGGCTATCCTCGAATCGTAAAGATCACACAAGAAGTATACATTATCTGCAATGTGGGCCTTTCGTGGGCGAAAAAGCAAAGGCGCCGACCGACTAAATTTTCCGTAGCGACGAAATTTGTCCTATCTAGAGTCCGTGGTTGCGCTCGTGAGGGGCGCTCAGTGGAACGGGCTGTTGTCACATGCGGCCACTCATCAGCAGCACGTCCTTCGAGCGGTTGTGGGTGCACGTTCGGGGAAAATGACCTGCTTCGGCAGCCGACGTTCAACGAGCGAGAAACGCGGTCGTCGTTGTCGCGAGTCTCGTGCACACGCGGCGAGCATAGTGTCCTGCGCAATGTATAGAGATGGCTGCAAACCCCGGCACCCTCGTGGTCTACCGAAGCTGGCGTTACAATCGATTACGACACCGACGGTGACTCCCGTTCAACGCAAAAACTGGCGCCTAAAAATTGCAGCCTGTCATTGCTTAAAATGCAAATGCACTCTTTAACTCTTTGAAATAAGGCTTCCACAGGGCTTCTACAGACTTCCTAACCAATGCGCATGTGAGAAGCTTACAGGTTCCCTCTAATAAGTACAACAATTTTATGCGTCCATGCCCCTCTCCCTCATTTGCTCAGTCTTAAAAGAAGTTCAAATATGTCTACCATTAACGTGTCTGCCTTTCTTTTACATTTAATATTATTTCAATAATTTAATCGCAACAGCATATTCGCAATACTCGCGCTTACAATAAGTTTTAACCTCTAGGTGCGTGCTTCAATGGAGGTGTAATTGAAGTAATGGAAGTATATCGTCGAAGCAGGGAACATGACCAAAAGTAAGAGAAAAAAAATGATTTGGCGCACCTGCCTGCACACTGTAAAGACTGATACAGTGAACCATGGTTTCTGGAATTCAAAATTCTGAACAGAAACAAAAATCAAACAGCTCAGGCGCAACACATCATGCAGGAACATGGGGAGGGGGGTGTCAAAAGTTTTAGGTCACGCTCCCACTGAAATACATAAGATAGTATCCTGGCGAGAACAACAATGTGACAGCTATGCAGAATGTTGGGTCAGCTAAATGTCTGGGCGTATCGCGCTTGGGTTTCGTCGTCCTAAACATGTCATCCGTGATCGGTTGTGGCTGCGAGATACCAGAACCAGTCGCGGAGGCCCTTGATACGAAAACTAACTAGTTCTACCTATACAAGCTGCTTACAGCCGTATAAATAAAAGGGTTTGTTTATTTCTAAGGCACAAAGCATGTGCATATAATATTTTGCTGAAAAACGAAAAAAAAAGGTCACACTACGGCACTGGGCCTGTGCTGTAATGATGGTGACATTTTCGTCACTTTAATGGGATTGCTTGTGATCTTAATGCGACTTGTTTTCGAAAGTTTGAAAGCCCCCCAAAATTTTAGTGTTGCATGAGTAATATACGTGCATGCGCACATACAAACTCTGCGCAAACGTACATGAATTGCAGATAAGTGTGTTTAGAAAAAAGTTGTTAACGATTTTGAGTAATTGGTACTCTACTACGAGAGAGCATAAAGCTGTCCCGTGCCCCCCCCCCCCCCACACACACAAAATAAAAATAAAAAAAGGAAATAAACATTGAGGCAACATTGAAGTGCCAAACCTAATGGAAGTGCGGAGCTGGGTAGCTTTCTTTGTTTCTATTTGGTGTTCTTGTTTTCCTCCTCTCCTTCTTTCTTCCTCGTTTCACTTTTTTTCTGTTTTTGTCTCTCTTTATTTCGATCGATTAGTTCTTGTATCTTCATCGGTTTCGTTCCCTCCTTTGCTGCCTATTTCTCTACT